TCATGCATTTTCTTTTACAAGTAAAAAATATAATGTGAATTTTTCTATTGATAAAGAACTCTTCCAATAATTTACCAACAGCTATTCCAACCTTAGAAACAAAGCTTATTAGTAAAGAATTATATTATTTACTAAGGAATTATACATTTGAGATGTGAATCATAGGAGTTGACCTTGTTTCCATTGTCCATGCCTCACCAACCCAAATTTTTATTAATAATTAAAAGTTCTTAACATATTTACATTAAAAGAAAATCATTACCAAATTTGGTCGTGAGATTCAAAATATTGTAACACGAAAATTATTGTTGCGCTTTTGAGCAAAACTTGCAAATTTAAAAAATCTATGAAAAAGAAAATTTGAGACAAAATTTTTTTTAGATTAATAGACTCCCCTTTTAAAGCCGAATTGAATGGTGGCGGGTTTTTTAAAATATAATGTGTGGATCACATAATATTTCAAAAATTTTAACTTTTGAGTATAGATGATCCGCACTGTATATATAATTAGCCAAAAATAATTGCCGCAAATTCACCAATAAAGGTTTTACGTTTGCTAAAAAAGCCACAAATATCATAATAATTCTATCTGGGTTAGGAATTAGGGATTGAGTTGTATCAATATTAGTATTAGGATTAGTATAATTAGTATAACAAATTTATTTCTATCGATATAACGGGATAATGATGATCATTACTAAAAATAAAATAAACGTAATAATAAATAAAATTAGTATAACCTTTTAAACCATTAGATTGAGCAATCTCTTCATCTAATATTTTACTTGTATAGTAAGTATCTCGAATCACTACTACTATTATCATCAATATTGTTGAGAATTTCATAATATTTATCATTAGCAAAATAATAAAGCTCACTGATAGTCTGTCTTCGTGATGGATGGATCCACATCCCAACTAATCACTTGCACATAATCATCAGGCATTTCAGGTAATATTGGTGGCCAAAAACCTTTTGCGCACATATCAAAAATTAAATGATGATTGTGAGCTCTATTGTCAAATAGTGAATGACTTGCAAATATTTCCCACATTAACATCCCAACATTATAGATATCAGATTTCTCTTTGCCTCTAAGTAGTTTCATCAGAATTAACTCCTGCATTATACATTTCATTACATCTTTCTGGTGATAATAATTTATTTAAAATATAAAACTTGGAAAAAACTTTTTTTTTTTGTTCCGAGAATAACGCTAGTCCGTTTATTTATTTATTATTATTCATAATTCTTTATTATTCCTTTTGCAGATGATGATGATTTTATGCATAATCTCATGATCAACATCAAATATTTATAAAATTGCCATATTGACGTGATCGTAATTATTTATGAAGATCGATTAATAATCATTCGATTCAAAAAATTCGCATTTGTTTTTGTAAAAAAAAAAAAAATTAAATAATAATAATAATAATGTCAAGAATAAATCCTTCCATTGATCCGATAGAAAGTGCTTCAACAGCACCAATCGACTATGCTGGTGTACCTTCTGGTAAAAATGACAAGTATGACAATTCAAGTCATTTGAAATATGGTCAAACAGAAAATCAAGAAAAAACTACTGGTTCACATGATAAAAATTATAAAAAACATCCCGAAGAAAAAATAGAGGGAGAAGACAAAAAGTAATAAATTATATATATATATATATACATATATATTATATACATATATTTATAATATTAATTTATTTGTGGTTTCTTTGGTAGTGTCTATCGTTCTACAATTGTAAGACGTTTATCAGCATCAGGAGATTCAGCAGCTCATCCACATACATTTTATGAAGAGTTTTTGAGTGGATTAACTGGAGATGATTTTATTAAACAAGAGGAAAGACGAGAACATGAACGAAAGAAATTAGAGGAACAAAAAAGGAACAATACTTTTTAAATAATAACAAAATGTTTCAATTTATTAAAAGTTGAGGATATAATAATAAAAATATAATTTGTATAATATTTATAACGCATTTGATAATTATAATAATGAGATTAATCTCTTTTCTATATCTGAAAAATTTAATGAATCAATTTGTTTGAATCACAAATTTGTTCCTATTTAAATTTAAATTTAGAAGAATGTTATTTATAATCATGAAATTTTTTAGTAGTTGATGAGTAGTCTAATAATGGACTTAGTATTGGGTCTTTAAGTTATTATTATCGTCATCATCATTATTATTATCTTTAATCATGACTTGATTCACTATTTGAGGTATTGGAATCATCATTAGAATCAGAATCATCACTAGAAAAACACTAAAATTTCTTTGATTGGATAAATAACAACTTGCAACTAGAGCATACAATAAAGGGCTACGCCTATCTTTCCATTCGTAGTTGATGAATAATCTAGATAAGCTAAGTGGGGTTATTATTAGACCCTAAATCAACATCTTCCCTGGTCATATATTTGATTAAACGGCGCAGGCATCTGTCCAGCAGCAGAATTCAAAATTTTTCTTATATTCATGATTTTTGCATTATTATATCAAATACAAGTACAAAAATTATTAGACATATAGTCTTGCATATTCAAATCATCAATGTCCTTTTGAACCACCCTTTACATAATGAACAGATTATGACTGATCAACTAAACGCGTTTGACATCTTTTCTTTAACACCCTATGCCAAATTTTTCGCTGCTGATGCTGCATGATTGTGAACTACTTGAAAATCCTCCATCACCATACGCAATTATTGTTTTAGCATCCCCTGGTAATTCTGTTGTGGATGATGTGATAAACTTTTTTGCCATAAAATTCAAGTGTTCGTGTGTTGAGGAATATAACAAGATAATTTTGATGTATTAATAAAGAAGTTGAAATGCCTGCCTATATGAGATTACAGTCAAAGCTCATTATTAATGGATTTTGTCTATAGTGGATTTTTTTTTATTTCCCCAATTCTCTCTAATAAAATCTCTTTATTGTGTATGGTGGACTTTTGAAAAATCTGATAGCAGGACCCCGTGACTAGGGAGGGTTGCATAATGTTCTGGCATCAACCCGGGTTATAATAAAATATTTTGCTCCGGGTTGGGTTAGGTTAACCCTTGCTCCACTATAATATGAACCCAACCCAACCCATTATGTTCCATTAACAACCCTACCCGTGACCCTTTTTCTATACATTCATTATTATTTATTCAATTGATCATTTAAATATCCTTGTTGTTGAAAATAGAAACTAAATGTAAATGTGTTTCATCTGCGTTAAAAACAAATAAATGTCCCCACCTATCAATTGAGCATACATAAAATTCCACCAATCCACACAAGCAAGTAACCATCATTTTCTAATTGATGGGCTTTAGAAACATGACCAAAAAGAGTATATTTATTTACCTTTTGTTTCACCAGAGTTTACTAATGATTGTATCTGATTACGTCTAAAGACGATTGCCGTAATTGGTTATTTGCGATAATGGTAACTACCATAGGGTAGTTTCCATTATAAAATAGATAGGCTTCCGCAATCAGATACGGCAAATTTTATTTTACATATAATTTCACTGTAAATGAACTTAAAAAATTTAGTTACAAATAATTCAAGAAAATTTTCCCGTGGCTAATATGACTAATAATACTAATGACAATAATTATCGTAGCTATTTGCGGCTCCCGTAGCTATTTATGGCAAACGGTATCTACCAATAGCTATTTACTACGGCAATGGTAGCTACCAGCCCAATCATTTACTAGGGCCTTTTAGCGTTGACTGTATATAAATTTCAATGTAATGCATTTGGTTTAATTTTTGCCAAGTATCAATTATTTGTATATTGGATAAAAAATATTTGTTAATTAAAGTGTTTTTTTACAATAATTATAATGAATATTATTATTATTGATTTATCTTTTTACATTTTTAATCTAAGTAAAACACTAAAAAGATCATTGCTGATTTTACTTGCTTTATCAGATGAAATATATGGAAGGTGATATTTTTTAAAAAGATAATAATAACAAAATAATTACATTAAAAAAGAAATAAAAAAGTTTTTACAGAAAATTAAATTAATATTTTAAATACACTATTTCTCTATTTTTTTTTTTTTTTTTTTTTTTTTTGAAACCGTTATGATCTCCCAGCCACCAAATTTTTATGCTATAAATATATGTATATTGACGATAAAAAAAATTAAATCTCTATAACTTCTAAATATAATAATATTATCACAATAAAATTTATTTAGAAGGTTTTAACAATATGAATACACCTAAAACTATTACTGTAGCAAAAAGAACTACACTAGGTATTAACAAATTGGTTGAAGCTGGTTCATTTGAATCCTTGGATTTTCTTTTCGTTTTCTTTTCAACTAAAGTTTCATCATCACAGTTGTCATCATCATCATCATCATTATCATTATCATCATCATCATCATCATAGTCATCATCATTAATTTTGCTTGATCGAGATTTTGGTTGCGACTTTTTATCTTTGTTTTCTTGAACGTATAAAACAACCTTACTTTGACCTTGTTGTTGTGCTATACGAACAGCATCAAAAACATCATCATCAGAGGATATTGTAACGTAATCATTGTCTTCATCCATATAAGAAATGCTGAAATCCTTGGTGGTTGATGGAAGCTTGGATGTCACAGTTGAAAGAATATTTTCAAAGCTCGTGTAATCAACAGTAAACCGATGTGACTTACCATTTGGAGCTTTGAATTTGAAAGTAAAAAAGTTTTCTTCATGGCAACGAGGGAAAGATATTGCGGAACCATCATCAATTGCTGATGCCGATTCACCAGGATGAATTTCTGAAATTGGAGTAATGTAGCCTGTTCCAATCATATGAGGTGGCGATTGGGGAGGGACATTGGAAGCACTTTGTGATGGTGTTATTGAATCTGAAATGAATGAGTCGTTATCTCCATCATTTGCAAGCGAATTCCAAAATTTATTCCACAATGGACCACCTGGTTCAGGAACATTTTCTTGATCTTGCATTAAATACATCTAACAATTAAAAACAAATAATTAATAAATGTATATATGTATTACTATTATTATTTTAATCATTTACCTGTTCCATTATAACATATGTTAATTTTAATACATCAACCATTCCTAAAATAATTCCATTTTCAACAATTGGTAAATTCAAATAATGACCATCTAAATAATAATAATAATAATAATAATAAGAATTTTTATTGAAATGCATTTAAATATTAACAATATTAAAACACATTGACAATTTATAAATATCTTAAATAATTATTACGCACCATACATCTTTTTTAATGCAACCAGGATACTAGTACGTGGAGGAGCAGTATCAGGATGAGGAGTCATTACCCTAGCAATGCCACATGTGGAAGAATCTAAACCTGCAGCTATTACTCTCAAAACAATATCTTTACTTGTAAAAATACCTGCAATCATATTATGGTCATCCATTACCAAAACGGCAGTTGTTCCATACTCTCTCATTAATCTAGCTGCATCTCTAACGGAATTTCTAGTACCAACTTGCACAGGTGGAGAACCATCTAGCACAGTGGCCAGATCAGGACATGCCATTTTCTCTCTTAAAACTGACATATATTGTAAAACTGAAGTTGACTGGTTAGACCATTCTCTCTCAACATTTTCAAGAGCATCATAAAGTTTTTTAGAAGATTCATAAGCATGTTCTAATTTTTCTAAAGTTTCATACAAACATTTTGTAATATCCAAAATTCCTACTATATCTCCTTCTTCATTACATACAGGCTAAAGGATTTTATATATAATTAGTAGTTAATCTTATAACATAGTAATGATAATGACAGTAATAATAATGTCACATACAAGATGTCTAAACCCTCGTGTAAGCATTGTACTAAGAGCATTATTAGTTGATGTATCCTCTCTGATACACATTGGATCGTTTGTCATAATTTGTTTTACAGCCGTTGTTCTTGGATTTAAGCCATCGCCTACTACTCTGAAAGCCAGATCTTTAGTAGTAAATATTCCTGATAAAGCTTCCTCTCCATCAATTACCAAAACACAGTCAGCACGTTTGGCAGCCATGAGTTGTGATGCTTCGACAATTGAAATGCTTTCTCTGACAGTCAAAGCTGGTGATAGTTTTAAAGAACGAACAGTGTCATTTGGTTTGGTATTTGTTGGTCTAACAGGATTACTATTATTTCTTCTGTTAGGTCTTTTTTGATAAGTCTATTATTGTATAAAAATTTTAATTAAGGATCCATTTTTAGATTTTAAAAAATAATAATATCAATACTAACGTTATCATTCATAGTTGGGCTTGAGACAGGAGTTGAAAGTTGTGTTGGTGAATTGTTTTTTCTTGTTTTACGAGACATTTTTTTAAATGAAACGTTGATAATTTAAAAAAAAAATTTTTTTTATATAGAATCAGCTAATCATGCCAGATAAGTGAATTACAGGGATCAAAATTATTAAACATCACACGATTACAATGGTAACAAATATAATAATAATGTGATCCACACAACTGTTTATATGGGGCATACCAAAGTGAACATTGGTATTCACTTTGTCTGGTTTTGTTGCAGTATGCCCCATATTATATTATTATATTTTAAAATATCAGTTATTATGATCGTAAAGCCTGTTATGCGCAAAAAGCCAAAGACTTTTGCATTCCCAAAAATGATTGCAAAATGCGTGTAGGTGCATCTTTACATTTTTAATATTACATTTAGCACGGTTTCATTGAAACCCAGTCACTTTTCAAAATGCAACCAAATATTTTTATTAACTGAAACACGTGTCCTGAATTCTAAATTCCGCTGTAAAATTTGACAGCACTGGATTGTAGGCCTTTAAATTACTTGTATTTATGTTATGATTATTATTATCCTTTTATCAGACGTCATTCTATTCCTTCTTTCGTGAATACTTATTAGGAGTCGTTGTTATAACATAAAATAATTGTTTATTTATTTTTGTTGTAATAAAAATTGATTGTATAATTTTATATCACCAAAAAATTATAGTAGCGAAGATGAATCCTTAGGTGCAGCATCACCAACAACCACACTACTCCACAGCTTATAACACTGGATCCCCAACAATAACTTCAATAGCGTATGTATTAGGTAACTTCGCTGGTGCTTAAACTTTAGCAAACGGGGTTCCAGCTTTAATTGGATAATCACTTCAACCACATACGATAGTCTCGGCTATAGGATCAGCAAATATAAGAAGTCACCTGTGGTGATATCATGGTTTAGTGTTAGTGTTCCAGAAACAGCAAAGAATCAGTTGTTCCAGCAACGACAGGATCGGGTAAGAGTGCTATTGAGCGTAGACGGTGTTGGTATTTTAGGTAAAAGACATGTTACAAGTTCTTTTAAGGGGTTTATATGGAATAGCATTGACCATGTAAAGCATACTCAAAATTAATGGTTTCTTGTGAAGGTATAGTTTTATTTGTGAGAGTAGAGTTTATGAGTAAATTGAAATCATTGCCTTTTTATATTGCCCAGACTTCCTTAAAAAATTGTATTTTCATATGCGAATCAGTAATTAAGAACTATTTTCTTTTAAATTTATTATCGGAGTTACAGTGCTTGAAGCAAGCAACTATTAGTGATGGGATGGTAATTTCGAATCCCGTGGGAGTTTCCGATGAAATAAAATATTCATAGCCAATTTTCATGGTGATGTTGGATTCATCCCTTCCATTGGAATCCAATTGCGATCGCAATCATGGTCACAACAATGCCTGAGGTTCTGGTTCCTCATTTTCGAGTTTCGGGACCCTCAAATTTGTTGCAGATATTTGGAGAGAGGTATCATTAGAAAAAGAAATGCATCAGTGCTGATAAAAAAAAGATTATACGCACTCTTAAAAGTTTCATGGTTGAACGGTGTCGTCGACGAGAATGAGGTTTCCCGTAACGTGAACAAATTGGTTGATTTAGATCCTTTGTAAGGTTGTTGTTACGTTAGAATTGTTTGGATAAAAGGCAACGATGTGCACAATCAATTCCTCTCCGGTTGAAAATTTTGAAACTCCGACAGCATTCATGACAAAATGTTCATTTATAGGAATTAATTAAACACGGTATTTTTTTATATGAATTTTTTTGTTGTTTTTCGTTAATATGGAAGTCTTGTTTATTTATTTTTCGCGACCAAACGGTCAATCTTTATTCTTGTCTTTGTTAATTAAAAAAAAAAAGACAATAAATCTTAAAAAGAATCGACCAACTCTTTTTTTTTTGATTAGCCAAGCCATTTATTATTATTCGATAATTTTCGAAATCTGGATTTCTTTCGGTTATCATTAGACAATTCTTTGCAAATGGAAAACAAGAGGATTTTTTTAAATCTTAGGCTAGTTTATAAAGTATCGATATTAACCCACTAACAATTTTTTTTCTCCTCATTTAGCATAGTAAAAAAATCTTTAAAAAAATGGGGTCTCCTTGATGTCCATAAATTCAAGGGCATTGTTATAGTTCTTGTTATTGTTACACTAGTGGGGATTTCCGAGATGAATTGTGGGGGGTTTAAAACAAACAAATTTTTTCTTTCATTTGATAATAAAGTTAGTAAAATTTTTTTAATGTATCTTAAAAAAAAAAATTGAATTATATAAAGAAAAAACAAAATTTTTTAATCAATCAATAATTTAAACATAATAATGTTTCGTATCTTACCCAAAAATTCAGTTTACAAAAGTTCGTTGACACAAGCCTTTGCAATTTGCCGTTTGCGGTCAGCAAACATCAAATAGCATATTGCAGATTGAAAGTTAGCGAGTTTTGAATGATTACATAAAATATTAGTATGTCTGGAGCTGTGATGTTAATGCTGCCCGAAATATATTAGTAAGAGGGACTTCAATTGACTCACTGTTGCACACGATTGTGACGGGAAATTTTTTTTCGCAGTCGGCTATAAATTGGACATATATTAATTGAATTATTTATGATTTATTATTTATGATTTAAATAATTAATATTAATATTCAACATCAATAACAAGGTCATCGAATAATAATATAATCATTTATGTCATTCCTGAATTACATTAAAATTACAATATTATCTATAAATTACAATAATTAGGACAATTTTTGCCATAATAAATAACCTATTGTTCTAGAAATATCTGCTGCAAATTCTAATTCAAAATCTTTAAGATTTATTTTAGCATCACGACATACTGCATTAATTATAAATGTTCTATTGTCATTGCTTTCTTGTGAATCGTCATTAGTTGATGGTGGTATTGATGTTAATGAAGATGATGATGATACGGAAAATGAAGAGGAGGAGGATAATTGTTGTTGATGTTGCGTTTTATTATTATTGTTGTTGTTGTTGTTGTTGTTATTGTTGTTGTTGTTGTTATTATTATTATTGCTATTGTTGTTGTTGCTATTATTATGTTTTTGTTGATGTAAAATAAAATGGATTAAAAGATCACGAGTATGTGGATTAAAAATAACTAAATGTCTAACACCTTCATTATCATATAATTCTCGTGAAAGGCCAGAATAATGTGATAAAAGAAAATCAAGTACTTCGTTCCAATCAAGCTCTAGATCAAGAAAATCTTTAAAATCGGGATTAATGGCGATAAGTTCACGGCTAATACATTGTTTTGTTAGAATTAAGAATTCCGAGGTACTAATAGGTTTAACGCCATTATTACCACTTATGTTACCCCCGCCAGTATTAATACTTCCACCACAATTCCATAATTGATTCCACAATGAATCACGGTGATAAAACTTAATGGCCTTTATAATTATATAAAGCATAAATAATAAAAATGTTAATTATTATTTTTACTATCATTTATTTAATAAAGAATAATAAATATAATTTACCTGATTAATTATGTTATCAAGCTTTACGTTAGTTTGTGAATTGACTTCTGTTTGTTTATATGGAATTTCATGATAAGATGATTGACGATTATGTTGATGAATCTTGAAATCACTAGCTGGTGGTGTTGTTGTTCCAATTGAAGAAGTGCTATTAACAGTTGTCATTGCAATTGAAGAGAAATTAATAGTAGTATTGGTACTGCTGCTAAGAGTAAAAGCCTCTATTGTCTCGTCAGAATCATCGAGAAAAATAACATAATACTCTATACTTATTTTACCCGGATTATTTTTATTTGTAGAACTAAAAATTAATGTATATTGAATTTTTGCATCATGATCAAAAAAAGACGGGTCTGTTGATGTTTTTGCATTTTCATTCATTAAATGACAAACAGATTCCGAGTTATCCGCAGTAAAGTTATAATTGCTAAATGTAGCGAAGCATGCAATTGGTTCTCCTTTGAAGCAGGTTGATCGAAAATTGTATCGTTGAGGAGTCTTAATTATATAAGTAAATAAGTCATCAGGAATTGATTCGGTTTCTTTCTCAAAAATGCCATAATAAATCCGATTACGTGCGCAATATGCTGGACAACTATGCCGGTTAATAAACTGTTTAATAATTTCCAAAACATTAAAAGGTGGTGAAATGTCCATTTGTTCCTCTAAAATATGCTTGATATAACGTAAATGAAAATCATATACAAATGAGTTGACATGAATCATCTTTTTGAATCTACCACACTCCTCAGTAAACACTTTCAAACTATGTCTATCACTATTAGCAGCAATAAATCCTGGTGCTGCCATTCGAAGTTTTCCATATCGCCGATTCATTGTATACAATGTGACACAGACAAATTCATTTTGTATCCCCACTTCACACATAATAGAACCACCTTGAAGTGCTTTAAGTAAAAATACAGGAGAACCTTCATAAAATTCTTTGTTATGATCAAGCGTTGCTGTTGTAGCTGTTCCTGTTGGATTTTCGTTATTATTATTACTGCTGCTACCATCGTCAATTATATTCAACCCTGGTTTACCATCAATAACTACATGCATTCCAATAGTCTCAAGATATGAAGAGTACTCTTCTAAAAACTTATTAACTATCTCTTTATACCATTGAATCGTGTTATTATTAGTAGCAATAGTAGTAGTTGAAGATGGTTGTTGATCATCACTTTTGGCATTAAATAAAAGTGGTGTTCTACAAAAATGTAACAGCCTGGAAGTACGAAATACGATAGATAAATCAGATTTGGCAATTGCCTCTCTTACATCTATTCTTTTATCATTATTATTTTCTTGATATCTCTTTGCCCATTTATTATACACTTTAAGAGCATTTTCGTGATCTTGTAATATTTTGGCTTGTCGAATACAAGTGTCTATAAACGAGGGACCATGTCTCTTCAGCGCATCTTGGCTTTTAAAAATGGAATTAAATTCTTCTATTGGTTCGATAAACGAATCCTTAAGAACTTTTTTTACATTGAAGTTAGTTAAAGCGGATTGGTTAGCCTCGATCTCCTTTTTTTTTGATTCTTCATTCTTTGTATCACCAACTCTTTTGTTTTCTTCATTGTTATGATGTCTTTGTGGGAAACGTTGATATACCATTGAATCGATATGCAACAAATCCTGATATCCGGATTTTTGATTATTCAATGTGCTTTCAACTTGAGATGACACTCTTTGGGGCCCAGGTATTGGAGGTTGCATAGCTCTAGGTGTATTGATTGGATTATGTACCAATGTGGAAGTTTGAGGAGTTGGTTTTGGTTGAGGACTATCAACATGATAAAATAACCCCATTTTTTGATGTAGGATATTATTTAGCAATCCAATTCGTTTATTATGCCAGTCAGAAATGCTTTTCATAGCTCCAAAGATTTGTTCAGCATATTGTTTCTCCCAATTGTAAATATAAATAGTCATTTCAAATCCATCAAATGACATTACTAAAAAACAAGATCGAAACAAATCAACCTTTTGTCGGTTATTAGGTTCTCCAGGCAGTGAAGATGGTGGGATCTTATACATCATAATATCTTCTAATAAACTTCGTTGATGAATCGGAGGATTAATGAATGAATTTTTACGAGAGTGAATGTGACTACCATTAACTCCACCACCACCTTTTTCATTTGATGAGAAGTCTTCTACTGAATTTTCACGAGAATGTAACAGACCTTTACTACTATCATTTCTTCGATCTTCAACTGCCATTCCATACTTTACATTCATCTCTTTCAGCCCAGCGATTATTAAATATTTACATTTAGTTGAAGATGTCATTTCTGCGTCAGGAGTTGATGAGTAAGGTCGATAAATCTCATAGGCTACATTAAAGTTTTCAGCTCTTACTGATAGTTTTGGAAAAATTCGCAAAATTATTGGAATAAATACGGGGTTCACTTCCGATAAAAGTTCATGGACTTCTTTCATAAAATCATCAATCATCCATGCAGGCATTTCTAACTTTAAATTTAATGAGTGTAATGCTGGATTTGATAGATTTGCTGCTTTTGACAATAGTTCCATTGTTGGATCAATAAAAACACGTTGAACATGTGAATCAACAAATTTTGGAGGTTTTTTTGGAATATTTTCAACACTTTCAGCTTCCTTTTGTTGTTGTTGAATGGTTTCGTTGCTGTAATGGACGCGACCTAAGCCTTTTGTTATTGATACTTCGATGAAAAAGTCACATATACATTGTTGAAAACTTTTAATCATTCTGTCCAATAAAATATCTGAATTCATTGGACCTTGTGCCCACATATCAACTGACAATTCATAGCCCTTTCTAATTCTTTTATTATCGTCATAAAATTCGTCAGATTCTGAAATTACAAAGTTATCTTCATTTTCATAATATTCATACATTTCATTAATGTTTACATCATCAAGATCGTTTCGACTAGGTAACGGTAATTCAAAAACCGGCCGGCTATTTTTATCTAATAAGGTAAGACAAATACCAGCAATTCCTTGACCAACAGACGCTTCAAAAATTGAAGGTGATCTTGATTGACTGTTATAATTGTAGAAAAAAGTGAATTCCTGAAGTTGAATGTCACAAAGTGGATATTTTTTTCCATTATCAACATATGAATCGTGTGAGCTTGCTATACCATATCTAGATTGATGATATCTTCTAACTGCATTAATCACCTCTTGCCCATTCAAAACGTTGAGATAGGTTTGAATGTTTTGTTTGTAAAACACTAAAAATGCATAAGGATTTTTAATAGATGATGGAATTCTTAAAGTCAAACGTTTTGGACTTTTTAATAACGGTAAAATAAAATCAACATCCTAATTACAAAATAATTAAATATAATTTAAATTTATTTTTCTATCCAAATAAAGTGATAAATAAATCTAAAATTTATTAATAGTATAGTTAGTTTATATTTACATACCGCGCGAGTTAGATTAATCTTGTATGGATTACGAGCCAAGTGAGTTGACATTACATTAAGTGTGATATTGGTGGTCAATTTATTTTCTAATAGTAACATAAGTTCATCTATGGTTTCTTTGCCTGGAGGTTCAAGCCCAAAAACTTTAACAACTAATTCACGAGATTCTGTGAGTTTTGATTGTGGTGTAGCAGCAACATTGGTAGCAGTGGAGATGTTTGCACTTTTGCGAGAATTTGGTGAAGAAGTGATTTTTGGACTATCGCTCCTACTTGAAGGAGGACTTTTAATTTCTTCGTTAGAAATTGTAGATTGTAAATCTGCAGTAGGTGGCTGTTGCTGAGATTGTGAAGTAGCAGTTTGTATCAAAGGTGAAGGAGCAACATGGTTTTTGGATATAACGTCATCATCATTTTCATATATAGGATGTCCATCAACTTCAGACACTTTGATATAAAATATGTTCTTTTCTTTTGGTATCACAAACATATGTTTACGATTATTAACAACCAATTGATGAAGGATTAATGATGTGACACTGTTCAATGCTTGGTGTGGTCTCAATCTCCAGTGTAATGGGAATTTTTGCTCGTAAACCAACGGGCACTCGAATTGTCCAGGCTTAAATTTCATTGAAACATTCAAATTTCCATCATTAGGTGTCATAGATAATGCATCTACCAAATCCCCTGTTGTTGACAAATCACCGTCTTCTGAAGAAGACTCCGAGTCAGATGATCCATCTGGAGGCACTAAATATTTGCTGCAATGACGCGTTTCATTCAAATCATTTAATAAAACTAACCTGTTTACACGTTCAGATGCCTGAATTATACAGTTACGAACATGTTTGATGATGTTTGAGCGTTCAATTGCCGAAACTGCTTTGGAATAGAAATACATCTGTATACTTGTTTCTTGAGTGTCAAGTAAAAGCCAAAATAATTGTTTGCGGAAATTTTTTGAGTCATCTGGAACAATAGGGTTATCAAGACTAATACCTAATCCTTGACATAATTCATTGCCACCATCATCGTCGTCGTCGTCATAATCTTCATATACATCTGATGATGCTCGTTCAATTGAAGAAAAAGAAGAAGAAGAATTCTTATTCTTATTATTATTTTCAATGTTGTTATTGTATTTAGGAGAAGCTTCAAATCCTGTATCATTAATTAATGATTCGTCGATGTTATCCTCTTGCCTTATATATAGACAATCTTCAACTTGATTAAGCGAGAAAGGTGACATTTCTGCTTTACTGAACTCTTTTAGAAAATGTTCTTGGCCTTGTTTTCTTTTAACGAATGATAAAGGAACAGTGAAACTAGTAGGAAAATCAACAAATGGATTTTTTGCTTTCAATTGATCTTGAATAAATCTAAGAACAGGCCTATCAACCGGTTGAGAATTCAATAGACCATGCATTATTTCTTCTTTCAATAACCAATCAATACGATCTCTAGTTTTATGTAATGCTTCCAGTTTTTTACCGGTTAAATAATCCGTTTCTGATTTCCGGTTCTTTTTTATTTCGAACATGCTAATAATAAAATAATAAAAAAAGCCAATAATAATTATAATAGTTTATATAGATCAATATATAAATATTAAACATTATTGATAGTACCTTGAAACCTCTTCTTCACAATCATCATATTTGATGTCAACAAAACCCGGTGAAATGTCAATCATATCATCTTCAACAGTTGGTAAAGTCATGCAAATAAGATGTAATGTAGCAGTGGTACCATCAGATGATTCAACTGGAGATGATTGTGTACCGATTGATTCAGGTGAAAAATCATAATATTTATCATTGATCGTGCAAGAATATGTTGTTGGTAAACTACGAACTGGAAATTTAATATGATTTGTTTCTTTTAATTCGAAGTTATTCTGGGTTGATGGAACTAAAGCGTCGAATACTGGACTTTGTTTTTTGAAAGTGCATTCCAATCGTAAAAAAAAAGGATTTTCAGCAAAATTAAAAATTTCCAGAAAGTTTTCTGCAATATCTCCAATGATACTACTATTATTATTTGTTGTCTCAATGCTAGTTGAATTATTTGATTTTTTGAAAAGTGGTCGATAATAATAAACATTAAACAATCCATCTCCATCAAAAGAAACTGGCTCGAAATAATGGCCTAGCACTGCAACAAATTTCTGATATACATCATTATCATCATCACTTATTTTTATTAGATATTAAATAAATTAATCAATCAATCACTCAATCAATCAATCAATTAAATAAATTAATAATAATTTATTTATTACCTGGTTAAGCCCTTTCTTGAAGATTGTACATGAACATTCACATATCCAGTGATATCAATATCAAACGGTTTCTCCAAACATACATCCATTACTTTTCTAAAATCAAACTCAGTAATACAATGCTTTTGTAGAACACTGGCATATATTGATTTCACAAATCCATGAGAATAAAGTTGATTAATATTCGATATTAAACGAGCTGTCTGGTCGGGAATATCATCAGATAAATTTTTAGGTCCTTTAGGGAAATCACAACTTAGAAATTTTGGTTCTAATAAATTTTTCATTGAATTAGATGCTGTTGTTGAATTAGACAGATTAACAATTTTAAAAGCTGGTGAAGTACAAGATGTTGGTGATTCTTTTAAGAGATCGAGATCTTTATTTAATGAGTTAATTCCATCAAGTGGTTTTGGTCTTTTACACAAGAAAATGATCAAACCTAAATAACAAGTTTGATCTTCATTGTAAAATCCACGACTTCGTACCAAATCATCTATAAAAAATTTGAAAGAAGGAATCAGCAAAAGTAGGAAAGAACTTGGGTCAACAATTTTTATAAAACATCTTGTCTCTCTTAAATTTCTAATAAATGACAATGTTGCTAAAGAATCCTTCATACTATCGGATCTCAATAATCCATTGTTAATTTCTTTGATAATAGAATCTTTAGTGCCACAATAATTAGTCTCAATTTCACCATCTATATGTTTACTCAACGTCTTTTCAACAAACAAATGTAACAAAGCTAAATCTCTATCAAAAGGGTTTAGATTTGTGATTGAATCTCGATCGATAAAATATGTGATATCATTTGACAAAGATAAAGAAAGTTTCCGTTGAGAAGAAGAAACAAATTCTAAAGGTAAATGTCTATTACTAATTCCATAATTAATTGTATTAGCGGCTGTACTAGATCTTCTTAATAAATTATTATTACTAGATTCAGAAACAATCGAAGATTTTGATTCGGTAAAAGATGATCTTGATGTGCTGTCATCACTACTTATTGAAGATGGTCGATCTGATTGAACTCGAGTTATCTGAGGCAATTGATTCATGATGATGTTGCTATGAGGTGATTTGAACGAAGGAATAGTATAATTGGAAATTAGCATTCCACTTGATCGAAGTAGAGCAGAAAGATTGAATAAATCAGGAAGTCTTAGTGGTTTGGGTGGTGATAGATCACCAGAATTTGCTCTTTGCTGTGTACAACTCCTTGCTATGTAATTTATTTGATCAAAGGTGACTATGTGTGATAATATTTGACGATCTGAGCCAGAAAGACAATTAATAAAAGATTCATAAATATTGTGTGAAGTTGGTTGTTCCATCCATATTTCAGTAATAATTTCACCATTACAAGAATCTTTAAAAATAAGATACTGTACGCCACATAAATTATTTTGATTATTTGAATTTTCTTTATTATGAAAATTTATTTCTCGATAAAATAGACTAAGGTTCTTGCGTTGGAAAACCATCAAATAGCCTTCATCGAGACGTGCTTGACACAAATGTTGATATGCTAAATCCTGAATTGGAATGTTTCTATATTCGACCAAGAAAACCTCACGTTCAATATCTGACAACCAAATACCTTTCCAATGATTTAAATATGATCTCAAAATATTATTTTTTCCAGTTAATTGACGAGCATTTGTTGACATATCTCTATCGAAATTTTTTATAAGAAATGAAGATAAAGGTCTGTTACATATATAATAAGAAAAAACTTTATTGTTGTTGTTTTCATTATTATTATCATCATCAACGTCATTTTCATTTTCATTTTTGTTGAGATTAATGATAATTTTCAAAACATCACTCGAAATTTGTTGACGATTGATGAAATCAACATTAAAAAATGAAAGATTTCCAGAATAAAGATTTCCTGCTTCATTATTGATTCTCAACTCACAAAAACTTAATGGCGATAATTTATTGCTATCTTCCATAGCATTTAATACTTTTACAAAAATATTATCAGAAAACGTAAAGGTTGCCCAAGAATCTGTTAAATGTTTTTTAATATTAGCAGTTAAAGAATCCTTATTCCTTTGATCTATCGAAGATGATTTATTTAATTTGCTTATCTTTCTGATAGTTGTAGCTATTGGTGAGGAAGAAAATGATAAATTTAAAGATATAAGAAAATCAAATTTAGTGTCCTCGTACCAAAAATTAGTGTTTAACCTCTGTGGACTCTGTTCCAAAAAATCCCACAACTGTTTTAAAATTTCTAATCTATTATTAACATGTGATAGATGCGATGTGGTTAAAATACCTCCAGTTCCATTAATACCATTATTAATATTAATATCAATACTATTATTACTGCTATTACTGTTGAAATTTCCATTAATTAAACTGGGATGTTGATATTGAAATTTACTGGTTTCTTTTGGTAGTTTATGATAAAAATATTTCTTTAAAAGTTCGTCAGTTTCGTAAATTGTTGTTAAAAATTTGAGTAATTTCATAAATTTTGTAAACAATGGATGACTTGGATCATTATTTTGTTGAGCTGTTTGAAAATTAAGAAGATAAATTGCTAATAAAGTGTCTGAAATTACATTTATTTCAATTCTTGGTGACTTAAGACGCAATAATCCTTTTGTTTCACTAATCCATAATGCTCTGATTTTATACTGAACTGTAACATTTGGCAACCATAGTCTTGACATCGAAATATGTATTCTTTCAGCTTTATTATAATTTTTACTGGTAAATAGAAACACATCATCAATACTAAATCCTTGACGTATTCTTGCAAATATCAATTGTTGGACATCTACCAACAAAGAATATTCTCGATAACGTGTTGACATTGTATCAGCTGTTGGCGGAAGACTTTTAGGATCCCAAGGAAAATTAAAATTAAAACCTCTAATACTATCGCCGTAATGTTGGCGTGTAACATCAATAATTGGGCTATCGATTGAACTGACAGAATTATTTGGGTATCTTTGATGGTGATTTTTTCTTCTCATGTAACGTGTTTCCTTCATGAGCAAATGCCTATGATAGAAATTGAGTGAATGCCATTCAACATCATTATCATTTAACGACCTAACGCCCGAAGAAATATTTGGACATTCGCAAGAATAAAAAAAAACACCCGAGGTTGCAGTTGAAACAAATTTTAAAACTTCATTATCAGGAATTAATCCAAAATTACATCCAGGATTAAAATTTTGATTTGAACCAACTTGAATAATATTACATCTTACACCTTCTTTACAGAGTTGTTGAATAACATCATCACCAACTGACATATGTGCCAAATTAGATTTGACTACCCCATCAGTGATAACTAATAAAGAAGGCATGCCTTCATTTTGAAGTAATTTGAGTGCAAATAAACCAGCATTCAGACTATATGATAAATTGGCTCCACTTGATCCTAGTCTCCAAATATTGTTTTTATCAAATGTAGAAGAAGAAAAAGATGGTGACGATGAAGCATTTGTAGTAGTTGTAGTAGTGTTGGTAATATTAATAGATTTGTTGATATTGTTAGTAGAGTTTGTGGCAGTTTTATTGTTATTATTATTAGTGGTAGTGGTAGTATTATTATTATTAGGATCAGCATCATGATCTAATTCTTCCGTTTTTGAACCTGTTACATCCATGACATAAGCTACTGGAAATTTTTTCTGAAGAAGACCTTGACGGAAAGTGGCAACGGCATCTTGAAAAATTGAAAGTTCATTTCTTAATTTTTCAATTACTTCTAAAACATTATTTTTGGTGACTATAATTCCTTGCATTAAAACTGACATTGTTGGAAATCCTGCCAATAAAGGTATTAAATTTGCATTTGAAGCGAAATGAGAGCATTCTGCAATAACTGTTATTGATATTTCTGGCTGAAACTAATATTTAAATAAATTTTAATCTTATGTATGTACATGTGTGAGTGTATATATGTACATGATTGTGAAAATATGAAAATTACCTGCAATGCTTTATCTATATTTATATCTTGGATCATAAAAGGCTGAACAATTCCTTCAAGACATCGTCGTACACTATTTTCAAATTAATATAAAAAATCAAAAAATATCTTTGATCAATGCGTAGTAAATAAAACAATAAAAGCAACCTACGTTTTCATAACTTCAGATATTATTATTTCTCGAGTATTATTACAATCTATAGTTGCTAAAGATGTTGTTACATCCAAGAGAAAAACCATTCGATACTTTGTCGCGAGAGTGACAATACATGAATGTGGCATCAACCTATAACATTTATCATCTGATTCTTTAAGATCAGGTAAATTGTCTAATGTATAAATATCTTTAACTTTTCTTTCATTTTGAGATTGCATCAAAGAAGCAAGACGTAAATTTGAAACATGTAAAACTTGAATATTCTTTATAATTCATATAAAATATGTATATTCAGATATTTAAATTTTTAATAGGTATAAATCATAATCAATAATTAATGAGAAAATTAAAAATCACCTTGTCATTTTCAAGGCTTATTGGTTGAAATAAACGTTTTAATATCCATTTATTCAGATCCGCTTTAGAAAAATGTGCAGAGTTTTTAACCAGTAGAATAACCGACTTTGCCTCGGTATTCTTAAACATGTAAATGAAAAAAAAGTAGAAATAATAGACAACGTATAGAAATTGAAAGAGTAAAATAAGCATTTAAATGAAGTAATTTCTAAATATTGTACGAGTAAAATAACTATTATTTTTATCAAAACCTCTTTCTGTTGAGTTCCATCTAATTTTTGTTGCTGTTGCTGTTGCTGTTGCTGCTGTCGTTGCTCTTGGTGAACATTATGTGTATAATTGTTATTGTAATTGTAATTATGACTGTAAGTGTAATCACTGCTTTGGAAGTTGTTGTTTTGGTATTGATGTGGCGAATGCATAATTAATGAATATAAAAGGAATCTTACTTTTATTTCACTTTGAAATAAATAAATAAATATTATTATAATTTACAGAATTATAAATCTTATTTACAAAAACTGAAGTTTATATATTAATAGTAAAAACGAATTTTTAAATAAATGATCGACATAAAAATCCACAAAGAACGATCGCGTGGATACAGATTTCCCGAAGTACTGAAAAAAAGAGTGGTATATAGTGTTCCTATTGCAACAATTCAGTTTGCACAAAAGTCATGGATGCACATGAAAAAGGTTTAAAAGGTCGAATTGCTGAATGGGTGGGTAGTCAATAGATACAAATCACACGAAAAAATTATTTTGATAATTTTTTCATCAGGTTTTTTTTGGACGGATTTTGCTTGAAAACTATCGAAATCAAATTGGTTGGTCAAATGTGTAATTCAATTTCTTAATAACAGGAAGGAATGATAAAAGATCAAGTGTAATCCCAGGAATAATTATTCATTTCAGGTCCTTTGTTGTGAAAGTTATTCAAGAAATCACAGTGTCAAACAACACCATCAAAAGTGCCAGAATAGGATTGCAATTCTGTATGTAAACTTTGTTATAAAGTCATTATCAGATTTCGAGTCAGAAAATACTTAACACCTCTTATCTGATCTAAAAATAAAGAAGCCACAAGATATGTGTCTGTTCACTCCTTATTATTATAACTGAAATTTTCAAAGGACCATTTTCAGTCTGGACAAAAACCATCAAGGGTAGGAGTAGGCATGGTCTTGTAGATTAGAACCTCGTAATATGTTGGAGTTACAGAGTTATAAAAAGAAAATTTTAGAAAGGCTTCGCAGCAGAAAATATGATAAAACAGAGTCATCTTTAACAAGTTGCAAGCATAAGCTTTAATGAGATGGATAATGAAGAAGATATGAATAGAGTATCTAGTGCAAAGAAACGTTCCTTTTTGGTATGTGTGTGTGGGATGGATAGTCAGGAAAATCCGATATTCAAAGTGTCAGAAGTTGTAACTTGAATACAAGAATGAGGTTTTAGTAAAGGACGTAAAGAAGTTTTTTGAATATTACATGAAAAGAAATAAGAGGATTAATAAGTTGGTCTAATAAAGTTTACAGTCTGCAAGCAAGATTATCCTGTTCATAATCGAGTCATGAAATGTTTCATGACTGATTTTATGTGATATGACTGATTACACTTTATCAAATAGTACTCTTCTTCACGCATTAATGATATTTAGTATTATAATATAGTATAATCGTTTTTTTCCATGATACTAAACAATACTAACATTCATTACCATACATTACAAATACAAACAGTCAAGCTTCCATAAAGTCATGCATGTACTATATATATTTTTTTTTTCTGGCCAAAGATGTGCATGGCAGACTACAAAGAGATTTTCATAAGGTAAAGAAAGGGGCACTATATGGAGGTCTGATTGTAACATGTTTTATAAAATAAATGCTAACGTTTTGTAATATGTATAAAAATATATATCCACAGGAATCAAAAAATCAATCTTTGTTTTATCATACGTTGGACTGTTTCATCATTCATTAAAGATTCACGTTTGCTAGTGAAATCTTCAACAGCATACTCCAAGAACTTGTATTCATCTTCTCTATAAATTTTAATGTACGCAAGTTCTCTACTATTTTTTCCACTTTCCATTGACTTTAAAACCAATTCATTTGTCTGTTTAAAATTTGATAAAAGATTCATCACATTATCTAAAATTAAATCTGCTACTCGGAATTGAATCACTGGTAACAAATCCATCCCATTAATAACGCTTTCAAGCATCTCTGCATTCTCAATAACTTTGTCATTTATGATTAGCTCAATTGTTGGTGAATCAATTGAAGGCTCTGACACTTTGAGACCATAATCTTCAGTCAAAACACATAACCACATAGCTTTCGTGGAATATTCTGATAACTCTGTTCCTCCTTTTTTTCGTTTTAAAGTTACTAAAGGTTTGATACCATGATCTTGTAAGAACAACAGTTTTGCTTGTATTAATTCATCCGTTTCATAAAATGGTAAATTAAAAGATATAGTAGAACATGGATTATCACTTAATGTAAAACCATGAATAAATAATAATTCAGAATTTGGTTTATCACCATATGAAATACAAATTTCTGTTTCTGGCAAAAGTTGCTCATCTGAATCTAATTTTGTTAAGACCAATTCCACACCTTCGGTTGTAAGTTCCCACCGAGCACATGGTGTTAATGAGTGATTAGCAAAATCAAGATATGGCACTAGATGATAATCATCCATCAATTCTGTTCTATAAGGGGTTTGATCCAATGGCGCAAATTCAAAACGACTGCCAAATGATAATATCCTTGACCAAAAAATTCCATCGGCCCATTTATAATGCTCAAATGTCACTGCTGAATCCACCACTACCACATTATTGTTATTGTTGTTTTGTAATGACAATGTCCAATTATTAAAATAAGGACGAAACAAAGCATACTCTCGTTCAAGCTTTTTATGTTTTGCCTCTACTGCTGCTTTTAAACTTGTTCCATTAAGACATGTTTTCAATGACTCATTATAAAATAATGGAGTGTGTAATGTACGTGGTAATATGTCCACATATTCTTTCCATATAGATGGTGGGTCACCAGAAGCAGCACGTCCAACTCGTTCATACAGGAGATAAAATATTATTGCCAATCGTTCTGTTAATGTTTGGCCACTATTTTTCAACAATTGAATAGTTTCATCTAGTTTTGGGGCCTTTTCTTTTGCAAATCTGTTTATTTTTGTTTTGCTGATTGTGAGTGAGAAAGGAATAAATGCCACCACTTTATTGTCACATAATGTAGCTTGTTTAGTGACAAAACCTAAGCCTTTATCTGGTATTTCTTGAACTTCTACATCAGATACAACTCCACTTTCTATTTCGTAAATAATTATGCATATATAAATAAATTTAGTTGAAAATTGAAAAAAATAAACTATCAAATTTTATATATATGTTCCTTATATAACAAATTTTGTTTACATTATCAATCACCTTTTGACCAATTAAGTAAAGTCTGCAAAGCTGAACTTGTTGTCATTATTATTACAACTAGAGAATTTGATTTGTGGTGACTTCGTAGCCGACCAGTACAAATAAAGAGATTTGTGATTCGTACAACAACAAAATTTTTTTATTTTTTATTTTGTTTTTACATGCCAATGACGATAATATTAATTCTATTACAATTACAGTATTACTGTCGAGGTACAAAAAATGGAAGCGAGTTGGCAGAAATTTTTCCTAAACGTTCGTATTCTGCTACCATTGATTGATCAGTAATAAATGCTTCCCTTGCAAGTGCATTAATTTTAACCTTCTCCCAATCAGTGCAACGACTTAGAGATACATATGCTTGACCTGCTGCAAATATTTGGGAATCGAGACTAAGAGAGACACGTCATGTAAAGTTAATGAATGAGTTTTATGTACTGTCAATGCTTTTGCATTTGGATTGGAAATTGTTCCCTACTTGCCAGGAATACCATTCACTAAGAAATTTGATGCCTGTTTTTTGATATCTACATCTACTATTCCAGAGTGAACAGAAGAAGCAACTCTCACTTTCATGTTTTCTACATCGACATCAGTTGTTACCCCAATGGACCATTGCAGATTTTGTGTTTTACCCGAGTTGCCCGATTTCATTGGCTAAATTTTGTAATGATCTTCAAGCCAATAAAATTTAATTATTGAGTGATACAGTGAACCCTCTATAAGTGCACCCCCTCCGGGAACATAGTGCTATTTCTTGTGAGCGTGCATTTATGGAGGGAGTGAATTTATAGAGGGTGATTTTATAAGCTCTCTATAAGCTTGGGATGAGATGGGCCGTGCATTTATGGAGGGTATACATAGTGCGTGCATTTAGGGAGGGTGCACTTATGGAGGGTTCACTGTATCTGAAAGGGAAATCATCACGCAATTTGAAAACAAAATAAATGATGCAAGAATATATATATAAAGTAAATTCTAAATAAAAATATTAATATAATAATATCTCTTTACCTAAGTGTCTTTAATACATAGACTTGGTTTTTTGTTATACAGTCTAATATATTATTTACTCTTTGACTTCTTCAAATCAATGTTTTATCTTCATTAGTGGGATCATTGATTTTTTATGACGCATTTAAAGTTTAAAAACAATAGTAAATGCAGATCTTTTTTTAATTTTCTCAGAACACCAATGGTATTTTTTAATCTTTATGTGTAACATTGTTTCAGTTACATTTGTTTTTCTTAATATGAGATATTTGCATAAATTAAAATTTTAAATAAATATCTTGTCATATCAGATAAAGTTGTTATTCAATTAATGAAATGACTATGGCACTAGCACCACCACCACCATTACAAACTGATGCGCAGCCAATTTTTCCATCTTTATCTTTCAACACACTGGTTAAAGTTGCAATAATTCTAGCCCCTGAACAACCCAATGGATGACCCATTGCAACTGCACCACCAAAAACATTGACTTTTTCTTTATCTAGCGAAAGCAATTTTAAATTTGCTAAAGCAACAACAGAAAATGCTTCATTAATCTCAAAATAATCAATGTCTGAAAGTGATTTTTTTGCATGAGATAAAGCTTTTGGTATGGCTACAGATGGTGATGTTGTAAATTTTGCTGGTGCCTATACAACAATTTTTAATTAAATAATCATAATTTATATAAATAAATAGACATCCACCAACTAAATATAAATTTACCTGAGCAGCATCACTCCAACCTAAAATTTTTGCAACAACTTTAATACCCAACTCTTTAGCTTTCTCTCCACTAATCAGAACAATAGCTGTTGCGCCATCACTTAATGGTGAAGAATTAGGAGCTGTGACACTACCATTATCAATGAATGCTGGCTTCACAGCACGCAGTTTATCAACATTTAACTATTATTATATTTACAAGATATATTTAAATGATTAGCATGTGTTACTGGATTTTTTATTTTAAAAAAATTTAAAACTAGCTTACATTATTAACTTCATCATCTTGTGTAATTATTTTATCAGGTTTACCTCTACCACCAGATACTTTTATTGGAACAATTTCATCTGAATATTTATTTTCTGCAAATGCTTTTTGTGCACGTTGATATGAATAAATAGCATAATCATCCTAAAAAATTATAAAAATTATAATCATTTTAAACAATAAAATGAAAATTATTTTTAATGCAATAAATATAACTATCATTATTTACTTGTTCTTCACGAGTAATACTATAATCTTTAGCACATTCTTCAGCAGCAACACCCATAAGATAACTATTATAGACATCTGTTAAGCCATCTTTTACAATACCATCAACAAGTGTTTGATCCCCATATTTAGAACCAAATCTTGCTTTTGTGGCATAATAAGGTGTGTTTGACATAGATTCTGTACCACCAGCAACAATAATCTATCATATTATATGTATATATAATTGAGTAAAATCTAGATACAAAATTTATTAAATGTTATATTCAATAATTAACTTACATCAGCATTTCCAGTGATAATGGTTTGGGCACCTAAAATTACAGATTTCATACCTGATGCACACACTTTATTAACTGTTGTGGCAATCACTTTGTCTGGGATACCTGCACCTAAAGCTACTTGGCGTGCTGGATTCTGACCTAGTAATATATTATTTATAAAAAATTTATTTAGACTTTTTTATTTAAAAACCATATATATTAGTAATTATATGCATTCAGTGCAGTCAATACCAAGGTTAGCAGAAAGAACATTTCCAAAAAAGACTTCTTCAACAAGCTCGGGACTAATGTTAGCTTTTTTTAAGGCAGCTGGTAAATAATTAAAAAAAAGTTATTGTTAACAAAATCAATTATATTATGCTGACAATTATTAATTGTCCATTTTTTTAACCTTCGACAGCAATGGAGCCAAGTTTTGTTGCTGTAAAAGAAGTTAATGATCCATTAAAACCACCAAGAGGAGTTCTCGCAAAAGCGGCTATATAAACATCTATTGTGTTATAAGTAAAAAAAATTAACACTAAAATAAAATTTTAATTTCTGCTAAAAATATTATAAATTTTTTTTAACCTTTTTGAAGAGTCATTTTTTTTTTAAATATATCAGAAAAAGTCGCGAGGATTATTTTGTAGAAGTTACACGAGTATCTTATTTCTACAAAATTTATATCAAATTAAAATTAGCCAATCAGAATTTCATATCTAAATATCCCATAGCGGAAAAATGTTTTCATATTAATGTTTCGTATGTAACACAAAAAAAGTTCAACATATGAATGAAACACATGAAACATTAAAATTTAAAATTAAAGAGCAGGATGATAAAACTTTAATTGATACAGAACTGGAGTTTTGGCTGATTTAAAGAACCAGTTATCTTTCTTTAACTGGTGAGAGTTCTAAAAGTAAAAATAACATGCTTTTTACATTTAAAAACACCAAAGGTAATTAAATTAATAATACAGTCAAATTTTGATAAACCGAACTTTTGGGAATCGATCGACCTATCAAAATTCGGTTTATGATACTGAATAGTATTAGTATTATTACTATTCATGTGTAGATATTTACTTTTATTCATGATTTCACATGACATAAAAATTGCCTGCCCAAATTCCCTAATACATATAACCGGGGTCCTGTAACACCATGCATGGTTATAGAAAAAAAAATTTTTTTGCTCCCCAAATCAATTACAAAAAAATCTGAATCATCGTCAAAAATACCTTTAAAACCTATAATATCAGAAGAATCATTGCCATCCAATACTGTATCATCTTCATCAAAATGCCAACTCCTAAGACTTCAATTCTACCTTCACTATAGTTTAGATCTTAAACCCAAACTTGGAAGTTATGCTCGTAAAAACTAATTGGCTTTATACTACCATTGAATTAACAAATTTAAAAATATATTACACGGTTATTGTAATACATAATTTAATAATTTTTGATGAGAAAAATGTTGGTTTTATAAAAAGATGGATATGTCATCAGAATATTAGTTGAAATTGATAGATTGTTAAATGAGGATTATTTACAGGGCCAAAGAAAGAATTTATTACATCCAACAGATAGTTGTTGATTGTGCAAAGGAAATTGATGTAA